ACATTGAAAACAGGGAAGGCTTTTAAATAGGGCCTCAAATATAGCCAATTTTCCCCCCAGATTTTGTGTTTACAAGTGAGCGTCCTCATTATTCACTGGCATTGTTTTCAAGTTTCATATACACGTGCACATTTAGCAAAAAGATAGAATTTGCATCAAAAAGGACCCTCGGTTAAATCTTCGGGATATGCTAATTACCGGGTAAAGAGGTTAGTGATACATTATAACATCAGAGCAACTCTTTGTGAGAGTTTCTGTGATGTTATAACCCGAGTAAGATAATTAAGTATTGCATCCTACACGATGAGCCGAGACGTTCACCGTTTCGGCTCTCACTGCTATCTGTGACGACAAGCCAATTATTAGCATATACTGGATATTTCTTCGGAAAGTAATCGAGAGTTCTTTTGATGCAAATTTATATTTTTGCTGGTTGTGCACGTCCATATGAAACTTGAAAACAATGCCAGTGAATAATGAAGACGCTCACTTGTAAACACAAAAATCTGGGGGAAATTGGTTATGTTTGAGTCCCTATTTAAAAGTCTTCCCTGTTTTCAATGTTCTTGAAACTTGCAGGAATATTTTTGACAATTGATCTCGGAATTGTCGAATTTATAAAAAATTTATAGAGCGGTTTTTGGAAAATGCGAAATTTTAGGCATGGACCAAATTACCTCCAAAACTGTATCAAAAGCAGCTGAATGCAAGTTAATAAAATTCTTCTTACTCGCGATCGCCCAGAGCAATTCCCCTCTTTTTTTGTATGCAGTTTTCAATGGAATCAATCCACTATGAGATGAAGCCGCGTTCCCAAAGCTTATCATTTTCTTAATATATTAGCAAATTGAGCGGCTAGCATGCTATTTCACTGTTTTTATGATTCTTAAAAGTGTATTTCAAAATATTTCGAAAACGCTCTCATAGAATTTCTTTAAACTTTGCCATAATGGAGGCAATTATGGCAGGTACATACTCCCTTAAGCGATTTCTTCAGAAAACTCCTGGTACAGAGAAACACAAGGATAAATGAAAAACGTAATGGCATCATTACGTTGCCATGGCGACTCCGATTGCAGTAAAACCCAGATCTTAAGAAATTTTCATCTTTATGTAATACAGTTGTGGTAACCTTTTTTCGATATCTTCACTCATGCCGACGTAGTTAATGCTCAAACTTGGGAGGTATCAACCCCAAAAAATCCAGTCGAGCCACCTTAACATGGGCTTCCGCCCTTGTTCCTCGCTGCTTCGCCACTTCCCCCACCCCACCCCCTCCAACGCGTGTTCTCGATGTACTGCCTCTCACAAGAAAAATAAGAGACTGCTCTCAGTCTAAAAAAATTTATCAATAATCATGGCTCTTTCATCCTTTACATTTGCTTCACTTTGCTTGTGGTAAAACCTCGTTCTTCCCTTTTTCTATTTAGAATTTTTGTCTGACATTTTCTCAATTATTCATGAATGATGTCAGTTTATTTGGGCCGAAGGATGCACATCCTTAATTTATTGTTTAAGGTTAATTTGATTACCGTCTTTTAAAACTTGTTTGGTTTGAAAACAACCCCATATTCGGTAAGAAAAACTGGACAACTTAAAATCGAGAAGAGACCTCATTTAGTGTTCTGCTCCTTCGATTGTTGTCCGACGTGCAACTTGCAGTACCATAACTGCGTGTTAAACCCAGCTAATAATCAAGCTCACTGCTTGATCCAGGCTTACAGTTGTGTGTCAAAATGCTTGACCGAAAGTTTCATGAACATAACGATAGAGGGACTGGTGACATCAAGAATCTGACGACAAAAAATTTCAAATTAATGACTAAAATGCCGCGGTATAGTGAATGAAGAGAAGATCACCTGGAAAACGGTCACGTAAAGAAACTGTATTTCTGAGAATAAAGAAAAATGCAAAACAGCTCGTCAGTGTTTTTCTAAAGGTCCTGTGGTACCTCTATTGAGTCCCCACCTCCCCCACCCGTAAGGGAAATTTTTCTCGAGAGTATTACCCATATACTATGGCGACAAATGAATGTTTTGTCAGGCATTTTAGGAGTTACCCAATCAAGAAAGTTTGACAGCATGCTATAGAAAATAGCATGATTGATTGAAGCATTTGTTGGCGTTGCTAACAGGGAACTTAAGGTTATGTTCACAAAGTAGCGGATAGATTTGACGCCGGCACAAAAACCGTACTACTAGTTGAAACATAAAAACGGTGATTTCGGCGCGATTTATGTAACGGAGCGATACTGCGTTGCGCCAATGTTGAAGATTGGGAGTCCTCGAATAGGTGTTTATAAATCGATGAAGCGGCCGATTTAGCTCTAGCCTGTTCCAGGCGTTTAAAATTTGGAATGCGGCACAAAGTCAGAGCGGCGGGGAAAAAAATAAGGAGGGAGAGGTGGAGAGAGGAGGGAACCTTCCTTTGCTCGGCTCAACCCACGCTGTTTTTCTTTTCACATCTTTTTGTGCTGTCCCCAGAAACTGAACGCCTGGAACAGGCTTACACGGCTCAGTTGACCTGGGTAATGACCATTTAACGAATAGATTCCATGTTGCAGTGCTCGGTGCGCCTGTTCAGTAATTCCAGATGACTTCAAAATGTGGCAAAAACAAAAATGCGGCACTGAGCTTCACTGAGCCGCATGCGAGTGTGTCACTGATGTTTTAACCAAATTTTGACGTCTTCTATGATATTAGTGAACAGACCCAGGGTTACATGGAATCTATATAGTTTACATAATGAGCAGAAAAGAAACAACGACACACTTGCCTCGTACCGCTTTACTGTTCGAGGATTTGTCCTGGATTTTCAAGTCGTTCAAGAACTTGTCTCGGTTTATTCCTTTTTTTTTTCTTATCTATAAACAGCTCCTAGTAAGCCATTTTTAAAAGGCTTTCACTTGCTTAAAACAAACTCGCAAAAAATTTCAAAATCGCGCCCATGTTGAACAAAAAATAGAAAAGCAAGTCTCCACGACATCCATCATGTGTCTGTACTCTAATATATCATCACCACATTGTAAAAATGCGTGATCAATACATGGATATTGTGATTGGTTAGATGGGTACATGTAACTTGCGAACCAGCACCCAGGTATGAGATCTTGCGCAGGAGAATATTGTGGTCCACGCCATCAAAAACTTTTAAAAGATCAAATAGTATAAAGATAGAAATCTATTTAGCGTCCATGGCCAGTCCATGTCCATCCTTGTCATCCATTACAAAAACGACAACAGGAGACAGTTTAAAAGGCCAAATATGAAGTTTTTAACAACAAATCTCGGAACCATTATATTTGGCATTCAAATGATGCGCACTAAAATTGAAAGGGTTTTGCTTTTTAAATTGATAGCCCTGAAGAGGCCTTTTAAGACAGTTTTGTTTAAAATAATACAAATTGTTTGACTGCCGTTGTGATCATGAGTCGAACGTTAAACGAGCTTATCAAAGAGGATTGATTATATATAATCGAAAACAAGCTTGCTTGTAGCATTTACGTTTTTTAATGATAACAAAGAAGAAGGAGAAGAAAAGAAAACACTTAGACACTTTCTCATAAGTAAGTAAACTTTATTAAACTCGGCCTTGAATATACTAAGGCCGATCTGTCGAGGCCTTTGACTGATTATTTAATTAAAACTAAAAATCTTTTTTTAAAACTGGCGTTAAATTTTTAACTGCATGTCTAAATAAAGAATGTCAATGTATATATTAATGTCTTAAACACGGCAGACATGCACCGGGACTGACTTTCACTACAATCTTCTATGAATGCTAAAGTGAAAAGAATAAAACCAGATTTTGCATTTGACGGGAGCGTTTTTAAGTTGTAATGCAAAAAGATTTTCATGGGGATTTGCGAGTCCGGGGTGTGTTCGAGCAACTCGCTCGCTTAGTTATAGCCATGAGATACCAGGAGTCTGATTTACATTGCTCTTCACTGTTTTTTGACTTTTGCTAACAATCTTAATCTTAATCTTTTTACTCCTCTTCTCTACTCAATCCTTACTCGGCGGTGAGTGAGTAGTTCAAGTGTAGTAGCGGTTTTTATAGTCAAAGCTGGACATATTTGGGTTAACTGACCGTAGGAATAAAAACAAGGTAAACTCGCGGCCGTGTAGGTAATGTTTTGGTTTTACTGAACCTGCATGGCTGCGATTTACAAGAAGCTACAAGCCAATATATAGCTAAAACGCTGGTTAACAAACCCAAACAGGAACTTCAACGAGACTATGAATGAACCATGGTCAGCTCTGACATGAAAAACACGACCACCTATAAAAAACTAACATCTGACAATGGCAAGAGAACAATATTCCTAATTAAAATCTGCGAGCTAAGCAAACATTCAAGTAGAAGTCTGAAAATCACAAAATTAAAAAAGGAAAATGCCTATATGCGCACCAAATCCAAACTAACCTTGACTCACCTAATAACAGAAAAACGAAACATAGACGAAATACAAATCTTAAAAATAACTATTAAAATACTTCACAGCAGTTGTAAAAGTTTTATTAAATTGACGTAAGCTGACGTGAGTTCTTTTGTTATAATCTTGTAACAGCGCAGGTTCACGTTTTCATTGGGTTTTTTTGTGCGCTAATTTCAGTCGAAATTCGCTGTTTCTAGACAGGTGGCTCGGGCTGGGGAAAAAAGTGCCTTTTTTAAAATCAAAAACTGGAAAAACTATTAAAGTTATAACGAAATTAAAGCTTAATTGCTCCAGTAAAATAGTAATTTGCGGGAATCAAAAAATCATTATCAATTTTACTTAATTTCCTTGGCTAACAATAAGATAACGTAAAAAAAAACTTTAATAAGCAAGGACTATATTCCTGTCTCGTGTTTAACAAAGATCACGAAAACAAAGAAAGAAAGATTTTCTACGTTGTCGAGAAATATACATTGGGAAGTACATTTTTTTGAAGGTAGTAAGTATGTTAATATAGCTGCATGTTTTTTGGCCGTAAATAATGAAATGGTTCTTTTTATATTTATTGAGTAGGGTCAAGATAAAATACCTCCACCTCATCAGGTGAGAAGCGGTAAGTCCCGGCCAGGATTGTTTTCGGGTTCTGCACTGCAGCAGGAGCAGGGTAGGCCCAGCCAAGGCGTGCGAATGAGCGGCTGTTACTGTTGGCATTATTATCAATGTAGATGTCATAACCAAACGCTGGACCATACCCTGACCACATGGTAATTGCCCCTTCTGGCCTCCTCACCTCAACCACAAAGGGATCCAGTTCTTCTTTATTGCTAATTGAAAAAATAAACGCCTTGCGAGTGACGCCAAAGCCACCACTGGACTCTAACAAACCAACAAAACGTAAGTATTAACTTTTGAGTAAACACTGTGGTGTAGTTACTCTGTAGTGTATTTTCCTTAGTTTGAATTTTATTTATTTATTTATTTTTATTCTTGACTTTGAAAGAATTATCATAAACTAAAACAAAACAAATTTAATAAGAACCATGCGTGAAATGGAATCACACATTTTTTTCAACTTTCCTTTTTTTTCTTATTTTCCTCCCTTTGTTTATTGTATTGCTATCCCTTACAGTTAGTTATGAAGATGGACATAGTCTTTAAAGACAGATATACAGAGATGATATATGATATATGATATAACGATAATGCATTTCTTATTTGCATTGACATGTGATGGCTAACCTTTCAGACCTTTTCCTTAGGGATAAGGGAACCAGTAAGGGATAATTGAGAAAATAATTTTGTGGATAATTGAATTGTTTTAGGGAGTAATGAAAGTTCATCATGGTTCTACATTGATTATGATCTACACTTATTTTTCTCCCCTTTACTTTTATTGGTTATAGGATCGCAAGCTGGATAATAAGGTGGGAATTTCTTTGCCGCCAAGAAAACCCATTTTACTATATTCGCAAAACCCACGAGACAACGGCTGCATGGTTATTGTGTTTTTGTTAGCACTCGAGAAGAGTCTTTGTGAAATCGCCGCTGGTTTACACGCGTAAAAAGTCGCCTCTGGAAACGGATTAATCGAGCCTTTGCAATGCCATAACAATCACAATGACTATTGCATCTTTTCAGCTACAGTTATACCTTCTTTAATTCTAACATGAATGTAACTACAAAAATTTGTGGCAAACATTTTTTTTCCTTTCCCACAAAAAGTGCGCGGAAAGGGGCAAGTTTTTTCCCCCAACACCTCCCCCTGCGTGTTTCCTGACTTTTAGTAGTAACGTTCTTACAACGTTTAGGGATAAGGGATATGTCCTCTTAGATTTACAAGGATAAGGGATAAGAACCCCCTCCCCCCCCCCCCCCCCCTCTCCAACAGGGCCTCATTGAACCGATTCCGGGATCATAACAAGTTTGATACCTGTTTTGTGCAGAAATGATCATAGCTGTAGTAGGTATTAAACTAGATTCAATTTACTAAACTTCAACTTGATTGCTTGGAGGGCTGTGAGAGGGGAGGAGTGGGGTACTCCCATATTTTGGCTAGATAGGTATGTGACGCCCGAAAAAGTATGGTATTTGAGGGTCTTATTCCCATACTGAATCAATTTCTCCCTTGTTAGTGTTGTGTTCCCGCCGTTATCATTTGGTTAACATTCAAGAGTCTACAGGTATAAATGCCCAGCTACACGAGAAAAAAAATGGTTTGTTAGCTGAACTTTACCTTAGAGTATCATGAAAGCGACTTAATGAAGACTTTTTCGGCGTTTCTTTACTCACGGTCTTTTCTTCGCGTGCATGACTGACAATTAATTTACGAAAAGGCCCTCTGATCACGCAGGGTATGTGTTGCCTTTAAATTCTTAGTTTGTGTTTTTTTTTCTTGAATTGGGTCTCATTTTTGTAGGGGTGCGCCTCTGAAGAGCGCGTCCCCGTAAGAACTCGACCAGTGATTTCGGATCAAAAATTAGTTTTCTTTATATTCTGGGATATTAAAGTCTTTACATAATTAGGTACAAAAAATGCATTTTGTTTGACCGAAAATGCGAAATATAATTTTTACGAATTTTTGAATTTTCGGCCGGTTAGCACCGACGCAATATAGCCTTTGAAACTACAAAAAATCGCCTACATTGCCGGCGCTACAGAAAGCAAACAACTCGTTCCAGAAGCCCGATTTTCTTTTTTTTAAAACATGTGTACGGATACACCACTCCAGATGTCCTAGCCATATCACAGTTCCGAATTATTTATTCATTTTAACGGCATGAATCTTTTTCCTGGCACGTGTTATCAGCCTTCAGTCAAAACACGAAAATAGCTCAACTTTGAGGGGAGTTTAAAAAAATGTGGCACCCGTCTGAACGTTGCTATCTGTATTAATACAAACTAGAAATGATAGTAAAACGTAAAAAGGAATAAACACGAAGCAGACAAGAGGGTCTCAATGGGGAGGTGGCTTTTACGGCTTTCGGCTAAAATTTTGGCTCTTTTACGGCTTTCGGTTAATTTTTTTCAGTTACGGTTAACAAAAATGTAAGTTAAAAATTAATTCCTTTTGTTTCAAAGAGTTAAATATTAATAAACCTCTATTTTTGTATCTTTAACGCAAAATAAAGCTCTTAGGACCATCTCGGGGTAAATTTAGAGAAAATGTATGGATTTTATTTCCCCAGGGACAAAGCAAACTGTCCTTAATAACGAGCTGTTGTTGCTGTTGTCCTTTTTACCATAGCGAAGGAGTGTACAGACTGACTGTCTGCTGTGGCCTTGGGAAAATCTACTTGTAGAGATTTTCGAGGTTAGACATATTCAGTATGTAAGATGCAGAAAGAAAGAAAAGATATGACGAACCACTTAATTAAAATACGAACTGATATTCGTCAGGGCGGGTCTGTTCGTATGTGTGAGACAATTGATCGTTATTTGGGCTGCAACTGGCTCGAAACTGTCGCCCTTTAAGGACGTGTCAACATCTTTTTTTTTTGAGGAGCAACAAAAAGCTAAAAAATGATCATGTAACATCACTCAATTTTTGGAAACACAAGTCCCACTCGGTCCGGTAGGCTTTCTACTGCGCTACTTTGCGTTTTCACTTGCTTTTGAGGAGAAAGGATTGGTACAGTTGGTTATTGCGCGGCCTTCTATGGGAGAAGTCTAAAGGCCGATCCCCAAATGTGACCTCCAATCCCTTTTTCGCCTTCTCTCCTTTCCGCGTAGCTTTAAGTAGCTGTAAATACCCATAACAAGGAGCATTAATGGGGGTTTAGAAGGGTGGGTGTAGGGCTCAGGTTTGCTACGAGGATAGTCATGTCTCTTTCGAGGTACGGACTTAGACTGCAAAACAGTCCGTATTTTTGCGTATTCAAGTACGCGCGAGCAGTCAAACAAAAGGTCTGGAATGAGGCTGAAAACAGAGAGCGAGACTGGGGAGAGACGCTAAAAATACGGTTTTTTTTCTCTCGCCTCACACGCCCATAGGGCGTGTGAGGCTCGCGCGCTTCGCGCGCATAAGACTCGTACGCCACGCTTTACCGATTTCTTTACTGATTTTGAGGAAAAAACCGACTGTTTTGCAGTCTAGTACGGACTTAACTTTTTACCTTTCCGTTGAAAAAAAAAAACTACTCATCAAGTCATGGTAAATGTAATAGTATTCTTAATGCTGATCAGGAGCCCATAACCTGTGCCGACTGAGTTGTCTAAGAAACTGTACATCCAATTTTACATAAAGAGAAGGTCGAGAGAATAACTCTTGAACGTTTTCCTTAAACCTTTGAAAGGAATTGTTCCATTACGTTTTTGATTTTTCCGGTTATATTATTATCCTGCGTAGTTTTGGTCTGGCGCGCAGTACAAGCTTATAAGGCGGGCGAGGGCTGTGAAACCGCGAAGAGATTGGGGCGGGAGCAATGCTCGTTCGCGCGAGCTTCGCACGACAAGACCGCCATTCTAAGCAGGCTAGTATATTTTATAAAGTAGTTCTGGATTTTTGCTTTATGTAAAATGTGCACGGAAGGTTTTTACAAACTATTTATTTTTTCTGCATCCAGATTTCTAGTATTCTTGAAAGTCAATTTAATATTAATCGACATTTCGCTTTTAGTAGAGAAGATGCACGTGACCCAGGAAACAACGCGGAAATTTGGCAATTTTTCTTAATAAAATCAATTTTATTCTAAAAGTATTTTTGACACCTCGAATCCTACTAGGCAATAAGACTGTTTTGAGTTTATTTTGCCATCTGTCAATCAACCTGTCATAATCAGTGCAAGTCGCGATTGTGTTGGTCCGAAAAAGTACTTCTATGCTATGAGTCGATATGAGTCGGAAGTCGAGCTCATAATTGTCGTGATACAGCTATTTGCAGTATTTCGGCCAAGACTCAAAAACAAAAATTTGGGGAAAATAAGCATTGCAATTGGCCAGAGGAAATCACTCAGGGAGCGAATGTACATAAGAACAGATGAAGAGGCAATGTATTGTAGCATTACAAAAATTTCTATTCAATCGGTAATTGGTATTACAAATAATTTTGAAGCCTTATGCACATTATTGTTCAGAAACTACCCGTGGTATACCCGTCGCATCTGGATTGAGCCACAGTCTGCAGTCACTGGCATGTCTGGCGTAAATACGCATAGAATGAAGTGAAACGTTTTTAGTGGTGATCCGCATTAGCGCGGACGTACAGGTTATCCCGGGGGGGTGCTCCTGGGAATTCTTGTTGGGGGTGTGCCGCCTGGACCCTTTTTCAGGCTAAAAAAGGTCATTTCAGTTTGACATCGTTTTTCAGACCTGGCTTCTTAAATCTATATCTGTTTTCAGAGCTGGCCTCTAAGAAAGTAGGTCGTCATTACTTAGATTAGAACAGCAACGAGATGGAAAAGAATGAATGAGGGAACAGACATGGAAAAGGAAATATGCATTGCTGAAGTAATAGCGCCAAACGCTGGGTATCAACGATTTAGATCATGCGCTCCATGGTCAGATCGAAACAACAAAAATCCTTCCTGTGACTTGCTTGTTCTTTTGGAGGCACAAAAATATGCGCTAACAAGGAACCCTAAGACCCAGGTTCTTAATCTTAATGCTTACCGCTACCCGATGGAAAAGCTACAAAAGCTACATGAGCTCTTCGGATGCATAATTATGTGGTAAGTAAAGAGGGCAAGAGTTCACGTTTCGTGGCCACGGCCCAGGTACGTTAGCCCTTGCCCTTGTGAATCATTTTAAAGAGCTGTACACTTTTTTATTGGTTTTATTGGGTTTCATTACCTATACATAATCACGTAGAAACGTTTTAAAAAAATCCTCGACGTCTTAATCTTGTCCAATGATTTTTCGAAAAACAGTGGGGCCTGGAACGAACTGTTTTAGGGTCACCTCATTCTCTCTTGGTAGCGTTTTAGTGGATTCTCAATTTTCTTCTCTAAAATGTGTTGAGCCAACTTTTTCAATGCATGTACGTTAAACTGAAGAAGTAAATTTATCGATGTATGGCGATTCAAAGGCAATTACCTCTAACAAATAGCGGAAAAAATTTGAATGTCACGAAACAACCGTGTTACGCTCGCGACCAGCAACGAGTGCCATTACTTTTATCACAAACAGGACAAAAAATTGCCTTGGAGGACAAATGATAAGAAAACCAATATTTTAGTTAAAGCGATTGCTTAAGGCACAATAGTATCCCGGCTCTACAAACCAAGAAGGACATTACAAACAGCGAAGTTAAAAGAGGAGAATAACAAGGCAAGTGTTCGTTGATTATCTTGTCTTCGAAATTTCTGGAAATTCAAACGGTGCTCATATTCGAAAACGTGAAAAGCACAAAAATTTTATTCCTTTTTACGTTTTACTATCATTTCTAGTTTGTATTAATACATAGCAACGTTCAGACAGGTGCCACACTTTTTTAAACTGCCCTCAAAGTTGCGCTATTTTTGGTTTTGATGGCAGACTGATAACACGTGCAAGGAAAAAGATTCTTGCCGTTAAAATGAATAAATATTTCGGGTGGTGTATCTGTATATTAAAAAGAAAATCGGGCTTCTTGAACGAGTTGTTTGTTTTCTGTACCGCCGGCAATGTAGGCAAGTTTTGCAGTTTCAAAGGCTATGGCGTGGTGCCAGCCGGCCGAAAATTCAAAAATTCGTAAAAAATTATTTCGCATTTCCCGTCAAACAAAAATGCATTTTAGTAACTAATTAGGTAAAGACTTTAATATCCTAGAATACAAGGAAAATTAATTTTTTGATCCGAAATCACTGGTCGGTTTTACGGAGACACGCCCTTAAATAAGGTATCAGTTTTCGTTTCTCTCATCCTCAAGTAGGGTCAGTACTTCAGGCCCTCGGAGACAAACATCTATCCGAAATTTAGGGGGGTACCCCGCCTGGAACTTCACACACACTAACTTGATCGAAAAAACTAAAAGTGTAAACAACAAAAGCAAAATATGTAACTAGACACAATAACCAATGGAGATGGATTCCTCGACGTTATAAATTTTAGCGGCAGAAATAAATAAATGAAATGAAAACAAAATAATAAAGCATTTCTTTTCATCCCGTAATAATCCAATGTAAATAAGAACACATGATGTCGACTTGTTTGACTTGATCGTTTTACCAAGGTACAAGAATTGACATACCTACAACACTCGTCACAATAGCTGGGACAGTAGTGGTATTTTCTACCCCCTTAATGTTGGATTTTGCGAGTTGGAATGACAGGAGCAAAAAAAAACAACAACACTGGGAGGGAAGGAGCACATTTTTTCTGTCAGGAAATGGGTACAGCACGGGGTGTCCCAATGTAGTGTGACAAGGATTGTAGGTAAACATTAGGTATAACGGCGGGGCTCTCGTGCTCGCGAAACAAAAGCAGCCGGGCACTATGGATAATAAAATTTGGTTATCTATGCATTCAAGAAATTTTAATTGTGACACAATCTTCCGTCCTTACGTCCGCCCTTTCATATTACCGCATGCAAAATGTCACACTCACTTGTTATAAGCGTTAATCTAAGGTATATTCGATTTGTGATTAACTTGATATTAGACATCCTCTTGTCAAAATAGGGTATCCGCTAACAACTGTCCGTATCGAAGCCTCAGGTTTACAGCTTTTTTCAAAGGCATTACTTAAAAGATCAAATGAGAGCTTCGTTTTTGGCCCTCGTTAAATGTACATGTTACGTTGGTAAGTGCCACGCACTGAGGAAATAAGAATTGGACTTAAATGAAAGAATTAATAACCCTGTAATCAGACATGGCCTACTGATGGTGAAGAACGCCGCGGGTAAAGACGACGTATCTAATATATTCCATTCGACGGGTATCTCGTCAGGTAAGTATAAAGGGTTTTACTGCAAAAATTGCTGTGAGTTATTATCATACGGTAGTTTTCACTTTTTTGCGCGGGTATACTCTGGTCGGGTACACAGGAAACCAAAATGTGACACCCACAGGCATTTATGTCTCATTTTGGCAACATAGGTATTCTTACTAGCTTGAGTACGCTGATTTTGAAAATCATAGTTGCCAAACTCAGTTCTTGTGTTAAGGTGGAGTTTGGGGATTTTCACTATGACGTCATTGTCCAAATGAGGGGTTTTCTCCCCTTTAACAATTCCAAATTTAAAGGAGACAAATTCTTTTAAAGCGTTATTAGTGTTTTAAAAATTATATTCTAAGAATTTCTGACTGTTTTTACGCTGCTTATATTAACATACAGCCATCACGTGACACTTGACCACGCCCTCTTATAGAAAAATCACCTTATCACTTGTATATTTATCACATTGGTAGTCTTTACACTAGAGCCTAAATAAGCTAAGAAATATTTCAAGAGCAGCAAATTTTAATTACTTCAAGTAAAATAAAGCTTCACACACAACCGATTCTTTTTTACTTCAGGTTAACTTAAGGCTATTTTCCCACGCAACATAATTACGATTGATTGACGTGTTTCGCCTTTCTCAAACCTCAAAGGTGCTTACCATTTGACAGAGAATTTCGGAAATTCCGGATGGATGGTAAATGGTAAGGTCACTTTTCGGAAATTCCAACCAAAAATTAAGGAGTACGTTTTGAGGTAGTCCGTTCAATCCAGTTGGTACAAACCAAACGGAATGTTGCTTACCAACTACCAATTTCTCGGTTCCAGACGCATTCGCCCCCTTTTTGGATTCAAACCGTAACGGATGTGGCAACTCTACGGTAAACTGGTAAATCGCTTACCATTATGCTTTCGACACCCCAGCCAGATTTTTCTGTCAAATGGTAAGCACCCCAAGAAACCGCAAGTAACCGCAAGTCAGCTAAGTCGGTTTTAAGGATGCTTTTCAAGTCGCTTGAAACTTTCTTGAATCGTTTCAACTTTCCGACTTTAATGAGATGCAAAGTAAAGTTACTTGAGATTTTACTTAGGCCTTCACACACGAATTTTTGGTTAACTAAAACTTAGCAGCTCTTAAGTCTTACTTAACAGCCTAGTGTAAAAACAGCCATTATTTTTTTGTAATGTACTTAGGAATACATATACAACTTTTTGTTTTTCTTGTGCAATGTTGAATCCTAGTTATTTCACAGTTCACTTTGGGCCTCAAGCTTGCTAAATGCTTTGTTTTATTTGGGCCTCTTTGTCAACCAGGTACCTGTGTTGCGTGGAAAGTGTCCTTTCCACCTAGTAACGAATGGTTGATGTCAATGTTATTAGCAGTGAACTGCATCAGGAAGTTGTCCGGGTTTAGAACCAGTTAGGACAACGGTGCCATTTATCTCTTTCAAGAACAGACTGTATCTTGTCCCAGTGAGGGGTCCAACTTAAGGATTTGGCTGTTGTAGCTGTATATGGCCCGCCTGGTGCAGTAGATCTACTAACAGCGTTAACTAGGAGCGTACATCATAACTTGTATGATGTAATCCCCCGTATCAGTGCTTAAGAATTCGAACAAGTCTCCAACTTTTCTCATGATGCTTTCCTGTTGACAAATGACTGCGGTATTTGTGTATTGGTTTTTTGGGCTGGCTTATTATATCCCGGCCATACGTCAGATAGCTGGAGTATTTGGTTACGCACTGCAGTATAGTGACCGAGCTCAAAGCAGATAAAATCATAATGATAACTGCCTGTTGAGATTCCTCTTTCTTTTTGCCAGTCTGGTACTAAGCGCTCAGACACTTTTTGTACCTTCCCGGCCCTTTTACAGCAATGAGATCGCTGACTTCAGCTAGGCGGAATTTTATTGCATTATCCAGATTAGCCTGAATTTCAGACGATTACATTGAGTCCTTTTTTACTGTTTTAGCAACGTCTGAATCGACCGGCTGCTAATCCCGTCCAGTGTGACGTCACTACCCAAAAACCGGGTAGTGTTTGATTGGTTGATTCTTGTCCAAACATTCGCAGAATTATGTATAGTTATGAGAAATTTTAGCGGGATTGCCGGGTCGGATGCCTGGCATGTTTGCGTGGAGTTAAAAAAATTCGAAAGCGAAAATTTCTGGATTTAAGTCTTGTAATTTCCACCGTCAAGTGTAATGATTCTGTTTAACTTTTTTTTCTTGTTTTTTTTTCTTCTTCGTTAAGCACCAAATAGTTTCCAAAAACCAAAAAGTTTCCCGTATTTCTCAAAAAAGTTGCTCAAAAAACAAACAAAAGTTCCTCAAAAGTTGCTCGAAAAAAACCAAAAAACTTTTTTTGGTCTGATGCTAAAATATGCAACTTGTACAACAAAAGTAAGATTTCTAAGTATTTTGTGCAATTTTGCGGCGTAACCGGCGTTGCTAAATAACTTTGTCCTAAATAAAAACCAGAAAGTCTAATGATCGAGCCAATAAAAATGTTGAATGTCCTTCTTCACCCGAGACACAAGTCAGTCGAGTGTGAATCTTCGTCCACCATTATGAATTTTCTCTAAAAACAGCTGACCTAGCAGCCCGGCTACTTTTATCTTGCGCCCATGATCTGCCCCAGGAGGGAGGATTTGGCTTCTTTTTTTATAGGAAATTCAGAAATTGTTTATTTAAACATTGTGAAATATGGAAGAAAGGCCAATTTGAAGCACTAAAAGCTGCTCCGATATCTCAGAATTAAAAGATAACTCGAGAAGTTGATCGAAGTACGAGAAGTTGCCAAAAAGTTGCCGAGCAACTTGTGGAAAGCCCTAGGAGTGGTTACATCTCTTACGCTTTCTCTTTTTCTTGTCTCTTTATTTTGTTCATCACAAACACTTTTCTGTGTCTTTGCGCTTCTAGCAGCTTTGCACATCTCTCGTCGGTCCTTGTGGAAAGCCACTCCTCAGCGTCTGTACTGAGAGAATCGCTGCAGCTCCTTTTCTTTTTAGATGTCTCCATGCACCTACATTTTATTAAGCAGTCCAGCTATCCTAAACTATGTGAACTTACTTGAATTTCGAAGTTGCCTTGGTCTTGTAACTATTAGTGAGAGGAAAAGTGCAGGAATGGGAAGGTTTTGCAATAATTGTCAAGAGCACGTGCAATCAAAGAATGGCTTATTTTAATATACTTTTTATTTATCTCAATAGAATTATTACGAAAAATATCACATCTTTAGCCATAATTGTGTGAATTTTATATCAAAGGGTGTGGTCAATTGTCATGCAACGCCTCGAAATTCGCAGAAACAGCGTTTTATAAATTCTCTAAATGGTCTTTAAAATATACGTAGAACTCTTTGAAACCATTTCTGGAGCTATTAAATTCAAAATCGGGAAAGGAAAGAAAACTCCTTATTTGCACAGTGATGTCATAAGGAAATGCCCCAAAACTCCACCTTAACACAAGCTTGAGCTTGGCAACAGTAATTTTCGAAATCAGCGTACTCGAATTGGTAAGAATAGCTATGTTGCCAAAAATCAGATACAAAATGCCCGTGGGTGTCACAGTTTGGTGGCCTGTGTTGAAGACATAGTATTGAGTCAATACTACAGTCCATGTATTTTCTCGCCAGGAACCGGGATGATAGATATTCAACATATACGCAATTTTACAGAATCGTTAATACGTAACAACCAGCCTCCCTAGTTCTTACAGCAATAAAAATAGTTGAGAAGACTGGTCTGGCTCAACTTTACGTTTTATTGCTATTTGGTTTTAAACTGAGCAAGCAATATTCTTACCCCAAGGAATGTCCGTGTAACCTCCAAAAACGTATTTACCCTTTTTTATTATGGTAACTGTGTCTCTTTTTCCATCGCAGCGTCTGTGAAACTGTGTACGGACATTCCAGCCGTGCAATGTAGCCCGCCAGCACAGTAGCCATTGGGAATTGTACCCAACCGCAGGCTCCAGAAATTTTCCCAGATGGTACAAATACGAAGAATCTGTTTTCAATATATTTGAGTCCATGGACGCTAAAAATAACAGGAAAGTAAAATATAGGCTTCAACGATTGCAAAAAGAAGTGGTTTCTAGTGTTTTTTATACATGTTCTGTTGCTGCTGTAACTATCTGATGTCTTAAGATGGAACAAGAAGATCTGACTAAAAACTTCTTATCGGTCTTCCCGTCAGCTTCTTCCCTTAACCCAGAGACCGCAAAGCTCCATTGAGGGAAGGGAGTGCTTGGGGTGCTTTTTTACTTAGTCACGTGAATCGTTTGTACTGGCAACCTCTAAGTTTAAAGACATACTATCGCGGTGTTCAGCCACCGAAATGAGGCCGGTATTAAAAGCTACTGCATAATAAATACTAATTTTGACACAAAATCAAACGTACAAACAGCGATGGCCCAAAATACCGGGCAGATTGATTTTAGACAAGGCTGCACCGTTAATTTGCACTCTTAAACTCGAAGGGCAAAAACGCTTTTGAACTTGGAATGCAACTAACAATGTTGTGCAACAAGTTAAAAGAACATTTTGCCCGTATTACTTGACCTTAAAGATCATGTCAAATCTTCATGTGCTTTTATCAAATTGAAACCAAAGGACTTCAACAAACCTTTCTGGTTTGATTTTTTTCTTCTCTAAAATAGCTATCAACGAAAAAGGGGAAATAAACGCGATACCAATAATGACAGTAATGAACATGATTTCACCATTTGATAGACCCCAATTACACCGCGGCGATTTTTATCAGAGGAATCTACTATTTCAATGTACATTATATTTACCGGTGCAATTAACGCCGAAATATTCTGGCCTCCTGCAGATACATAGGAAGGATCCTTTGGTGTTATGGCATTTGGAGCTGTTGTCACAGTTGTGTTTTTCTGTAGCACACTCGTTAACGTCTGAAAAACAGGAGATGCTACTATTTAGCTTGTCTTTTTTTCTATATATAGTGTGCGACCACAAAAGGACTACTGAGAAACAGTTTTCTCTACGACTCCGATGATTACAGACGGAATTGATTCTAATCTGAGTCCTATTACCACTACTAAATGCTAGCGCTGTTCTAATTATGATAATAACGGTGTAATGGGATACAGTGCCCGGTGGCAGTACCCGTCATATATACATAAGTAATGGTACAATAATCACTCCATCGCGAACGCTCTTCGACCTTTTTTTGGGTTTTTGTTGTTGTTATTTATATTTTTCTTCTAGCGGCATGAAACTCTTACAAGATCTTGTGTTTTAGTTTCATAAAATCTGAAAGTATCACAAATTTTGTTACAGTTACGATTAAATGTTACTTATTTTTATACAAATCAGCCTCCAGCTATGTGGTCTCCTGACTCCACTCAGACCTATTTCCATTATTAACAATGTAAGTATTATAACTATCATTAAAATTACTATTATTATTATTATTGTTATTATTATTATAATCATTTCTTGCTTTGTACACTGGCTGATCTCATACCGATTTACCTGCTAAGGGAGCGAGTCATAATCCCTGACCAAAGGCCCCTTGGATTTCACCTCCTTACTCTAAAACTCTACTTTCCTTAAAATCCTTGTTGTTCCTAGTAGTGTAGTTTTTTAGATTAATGAAATACTTATTCTAATGTCCAGTCTAATTCCAGCCACTTATCTAAATTCTTTGTCACACTTCCCAATGATCATACAACAATCGGTATCTCCTGCACAGTTCTCATGTTCCATATCCTTGCAATTTCTCTTTTAAGCTCCTTATATTTTATAACCTTCTAATTCTCCTTTCAACAATTCTCTTATTACCTGCTACAGCAATATCGACAATGGTGCACTCTCTCTCCTGTTTGTTTACAACCAAATGATCATGTCTATTGTAGCATCGATGACATGATCACATTGGATGTTCATTATCCCACAGTAGTTTAACTTCATCGTTTTTACTCACACTGTCAGGCACGTGTTCGTACCACTTGTCCTTCTTTCCCAGATGATATTTCTCACATACCTTCCAACGAACTACTTTTGCAATATTGTTATGTCTCTGTTTATATTCCCTTTGGGCTAGCTTTTCAGTTACACTCACAGACAATATGGTTTACACTCTCGCCACATTACCTACATAAGGGGGACTCGCACGGTCTTGTCAATATAGTATCAGTTACATGGCTGGTCCTCTAAGCCTGTTCCTGGCCCGCACAAATAAGTGCTTCTGTTTGGATCTTCGAGTCTACTTTTCGTAACCAGCTCCAAGTTTTCTTACATGTGTTGTTCCGGGTATTCCTCATAAAATTGACCATGCAGCTTTTTTTCTTTCCAACTGTCGAGTTTCTGCTCATTGTTCCAAGATGTCTTCAATCAACCTAACTGACAATTTCCTCACTTTCA